CTGGTGAACTGGAGGTAACTAACAATCAGGTTTGCAAGGTGATAAATGCTAATCAAGTCACTACATAGCCCTCAAAAGATAAATTATCTGTTGGCCAACTAAGTGTGAAGTATGTTGTCCTGCATAGGATTGGTGCAGCCAACTGGGTACCTACAAATCACACTTCAACCATTGTTGTCGGTCTAGGAAGATTCATTTTTGCTGTTGGGACCAAGGTTAAGTTTGACTATGAAAGTTACATCTTTGATCAAATTGTGAAACATGCCACCACTAAAGCTGTTAAGCTACCCATTACTTTCCCCTCTCTAATATTGGGATTATTTTGAGTCAATACCCTGGGATTCTCTCAAGCAATGATGTGGCCTGCAAAAGGGACTCTGTACTGTCACTCCATTATAAGCTATTTGCAGGAAGATATGTCCCAGACATTGTCTTGACATCTTCTGAGAAGACATCCACTACAAAGACTGGGGTTATCTCAGAATTAAAGGAGACCTGCAAGAAATTGGGAGAAGTTATTAGTGTGGCTACTGCAAGGAAACTTAAGTTGGAAGCTCTAATAAGAGGTCTGAAACAGAATGAAGAAAATAATGTGGAGGCTGTTGATGCTCAGGAAGAGGAAGATGAGGAGGTTTCTGTCTCAGGTGAGAAGACTAATGATCATGTTTCTAGGTCTACAACTGATGGTGAAGATGAGAGTTATGGGTCTGAGGAAGAGAATTAATGATGCTTGGCTATGGTGTTCTTTGGTTTATGGATTATTTTGTTTGTTGTTTCAGAATTTGTTCTTCTTGCACTTAATGTGCTTTTGACTTGTACTATTTGGATTCTCGTTGTACCCTTAACTCTATTTGGTTTTGTTTAATTGTTCTATGTTTTTGTGTTACCCTTAGTATGTTTTCCTAATTTATGGCTAAAAAGGGGGAGAAGGAGTTGCTGCTACTGAGAATTAAGGAGGTTGTTTTTAACTGTTGTTGGTTATGTTGTTGAGGGGGAGTTTTGTTTTTTGCTTACACTTTGGTTTGAGGGGGAGGGAGCATTTTTTATCTGTGTTTCTGCTGCTGTGCTCTCTGATATGTTCTAGGAGCTCTTGTGATCTATTGGATGTTTTAGCCAAAATTTGTCAAAGGGGGAGTTTGTTAGTTCTACAATTGGCAGGAATTTTGGTAAAACATGGTGTTATCACAAGATGTCCTATAGGATGTCTTGACATATGTTCTTAATATTCTGCAGGTGGTTATTCTTAATGTTGCAGGGTTTAGTTCATGATGTCAAGTATGATGTCCTGACATTTGCGAACAGAACACTCAGTGTGAATGTTTATGATTTGATTGTTGCGTTTTTGTGCAACCTTTTGCGCTGTTGTGATAAGAGTTTTTGGTGGTACAAATCTGCATGGAAATCTTCCTTATTCAAAAGAGTTTTTGATGCATAATTCATGGAGTAATTGTGAAATCTTTTGTTCTATTTTCTGCAGAAAATCTTAAGATTTGATTTGATCAAATTTGTTTTGGTTTTATTTCTATGATGTTAATTATGAAAGGATTTGAAGAATTATCTGATTTGATTTTATCAAATCAGAGGTAGTTTTTGCTAAAGCTCAAGCTCGTTCAAAGTGTTACTATATAAAGACTTTACAATCCTATTTTGAAGGTTAGAAAAGCTAGGGTTAAGTTAGTGCATTGCGTAAGGAATAAACTTTTAGCTTCGTGTGTTATTATTATTTGTGAGCCATTTACTCATCACCTTGATGTGTGAATTGGACTGAGTTTTTGTGTTGTAAGTTGTCCACTCTAAGCTTTTAAGCAAGAGTGCATTGTTCTTGATTGAAGCTTTTAAGTAAGATCAAGTATTGTCTTTGAAGAGTGTCTTCCACGTTTTATTAATCTGTTATTATCACTGTTGTGATTGAGGGGGAGTGAGAGGTGTCTCATATCTAAAGGTGTTTTAGATAGAAATTGCAAGGGTAGAGATTAGGTGAGAAGATTGTAAACTAGAGAGAGTTTGCTGTGAATCTTCAAACTAATTCTATTTAGTGAATTTCCTTCCTGGCTTGGTAGCCCCCAGGCATAGGTGTGTTTGCACCGAAATGGGTTATGTCTATTTACTATTGTTAACAACTTTTTATCTTGTTCATATATTGGTGATTGTTTAGATATTAGTGTCGTGACATCTCCTTCGACATCTCATATTTGATACCAGAATTTCAATTGGTATCAGAGTAGGCATCCTGCTCTAGTTCTGGATGAGATCTAGAGACGATACTTTCTGGTACTATGGACAAAGAAGGAGGATTTGTGAACAGACCACCTGTTCTGGATGGGAATAATTATGATTATTGAAGTGACCAGGTTTGTTGCAGTTATAGCAGGTTTTATCTTCATCTTTCTCTTTGAAGCTAGATCTCCTACTTCTTTTAAAGAATCTTCTGTTCCTTATGGCCATTTGCTGAAATCCTCTGATGAAGCAAGTCATATCATCATCATCAAATCTACCATCAGAATCTTCTTTAAAAGTTTCATCAAGTTTACTGATCTTTGAAATCCTTTTGAACTATTCACCAGATTTTTCAGAGGCAAGTCTCAGGGCAAGAGATTTAAATTTCTTTGAAGACTCATCTCCATTCAATTCCATCTCATGGCTCTGAAGATTGTTGATTAAATTTTCAAGAGACAGCGTATTCAGGTATTTAGCTTCCTGAATAGTTGCTACTTTAGGTCTAAACTTTAAAGGGAAACTTCTCAGAATCTTTTTGACATGATCTAATGTAGAATAACTATTCTTTAACACTTGAAGGCCTGATACAAGAATCTGAAACCTAAAGAACATGATTTCAATATCCTCATCATCCTTCATTTTGAATAACTCATATTTTTGTACCAACAAATTAGCTTTTGCTTCTCTCTGACTTGTTGATTTCCTTCATAGGTAGAGCACAATGATTCAAAGATAGTCTTTGTAGAAGACTTATAAATGATTTTTAAATACTCAACATGTGGTTGAGCATCAACTAGAATACCTCTGACTTTGTGATGTTTTATATAAATTTTCTTTTGAGCTGAAGTCAAAGTTTTTCTGTCAAATACCATACCAACACTATCAACGGGGATCTCAATATCATCTTCAAGTATATCCCATAACTCATCATCAAGTCCAATGAAATACATGTACATCTTGCTTTTCCACCATTCGAATTTAATGGAATCACCGCTGAATACAAGAGGTTTAGCAGAGTAATGATTTCTCTCAGAACCACTGTAATCATGTAGAAATCCTCTTCCTGAGGTACTAGCAGTAGGATCCTCAATAGACATATTTTTCTTTTTGGATTTTTTACTGTGCCACTGTTAAGTGTTACATACAAACCTTACTCTGGTGCTAATTGAAGGTGAAACAAATACACAAGAAATGAGGGTTCAATTATGTTTACCAAACTGTTTCTACTTCTAACAGAGTTCAAATTCTAAACAAAAGTTCAAAATCTAATTAACTAGTGCAGCGGATAAAGTGACAGAAGTAAATAAATAGACAAAGAACAGACAAAAATTATCTTGGTTTCTCTCCAACTAAGAATAGTTCAGTCCCCTTATAACACAAGAGATTTTCACTATAATCAAACACATTACAATTTCTTATGCCCTCGACATAAGACTTTTCCTTTCTCAGACCTACAGCCTAAGACTTCCCTGCCTAGATCCTCAAATCCTAAAACTTTTCTACTTAAACCCATCGAATTCAAGACTTCTTTACTTATACTTCTCGAATACAAGACTTCCTACTTAGACCTTCAGTCCAATATTTTCTTACTCTATCGAATAACATAAATATATTCATCAATTTATATGTGTATTTGACCACTTACTATCAAATCTATCAAATCAATCTATATTGTTTACCTCAATTTTATCAAATTAGTCATTACACATATGAAACATCAAATGCATTTTTCATCAATTCAATTGTCTGTCAATTAACACGCCACAAAAGTCTCGTTAGCATTATTAAGGCCATTTGATTTGTTTTTTTAAAATAACTTTTATAGAATAATATAATTTTGTGAATTTTTTTATAATATAGCATAATTATATGAAGAAATTTTTTTCATAAAAACTTCAAATAAAAATCTAATTTGAATAATTATTTTTAAAATATCATTTTATTGAAACTTTTTTTAATATTAAAATTTCAAAAATACATTTAGTTTTGAAGTTATTTTAAATAGTTTTCATAAAAATTATTTTTAAAATATAAATTTTTGAAAAAATTATGATTACTATGTTTTAATGTATGTTTATGTTATAAGAAATCAAAATTAGTCTTCAATTTAGAAAAAAAAACAAATAAAAAATACTTATAATATTTTAAAAAATGATTTTATAAAATTCATTTTTGAAAATAAAAAAAATATTTGTTTCTTTAAATGCTGAAACATACCGCCCTCTATATCATAAAGACTAAAAAGGATTAAACTAAAAAACATTTGACACAAAAGATTAAATTAAAATATTAATAGAGTAGAATATACATATTAAGACATCTTCCAAAAACATCAAAAAGACTAAATTAAAAATATATTTAAACACTATAATTATCCCCGCCTCAGCATCCCAATATGAAAAGAACAAGTTCTGCATGTAAAGATAAAGTGGTTTTTAGTGGCTGAGGCCCCAACGTTCTCATCACAGGTTAACCCTTTAACCAGGTGTTAGTGTAAGTGTTAGACATTATTATAAACCCAATTATAAATAAGCAGAAAGTGATATAAGAATGTTAGCCAAGAGGGTAGGACATTATAACACTTGAGTAAGACAAGAACTACAAACATATACAAAACCCAAAGCATTGATGAAATTTTTGTACTCGCACAGCAATTTGCGATAAAATAATCCAAGTACATTGCTTTTTCGGATTCCACGGAGAAGTGTAGTATTATTAATCTGTTTTATTCAACTATAAATACCAACAATCAATCTGAACTCATATTGTCTATGTAAACCACAATGGGTGCTCTCAATTTAGAAGAATGTCCACTGAAATTTCATTTCATTCCTTATCCTGCACCTGGCCATATGATCCCTCTTTGCGACATAGCTACACTCTTCGCCTCTTGCGGTCACCATGTCACTATCATTACAACTCCTTCTAATGCTCAAATCCTTTTCAAATCCATCCCTTCCCACTACCATATCCGTCTCCATACTGTTCCGTTTCCTTCCTGCCAAGTAGGCCTCCCGCTCGGCGTTGAAAACCTTGCCTCTGTTAACAATGTTGAGAACTCCTACAAGGTTCACCAGGCTACCATGTTGCTCCAATTACCTATCAGCCAATTTGTGGAGCAAGATGCACCGGATTGCATCGTGGCGGACTTTATGTTCTTGTGGGCAGATGAGTTGGCAAACAAGCTTCATGTTCCTAGACTTGCCTTCAACGGTTTCTCTCTCTTTGCCATATGTGCCATGGAATCTCTCAAGGCACAGAACTATGCATCGTCTGTCATTAAGGGTCTTCCTCATTGTATCACCTTGAATGCAACACCACCCAAGGCATTGACCAAATTTATGGAAGCATGGCTGGAAACGGAGCTCAAAAGCTACGGGCTCATTGTCAACAACTTCACTGAACTTGACGGAGAAGAGTACATCGAGCATTACGAGAAAACCACTGGTCATAAAGCTTGGCATCTCGGACCAGTTTCTCTCATTTGTAGGACCACTCAAGAAAAAGCGGATAGGGGGCAAACAAGCACAGTGAGCGTTGATGAGTGCTTGAGCTGGCTAAACTCAAAACAGCCAAACTCAGTACTCTACATATGTTTTGGGAGCCTATGCCATTTCTCTGATAAGCAGTTGTATGAGATTGCAAGTGCGATAGAAGCATCAGGTCACCAATTCATATGGGTTGTCCCTGAAAAGAAAGGGAAGAACGAGAGAAATGACAGGAACGAAAAATGGATGCCAAAGGGATTTGAAGAGAGGAACATAGGAATGATCATAAGGGGGTGGGCACCACAAGTGGTGATTTTAGGCCACCCTTCTATAAGTGCATTCTTGACGCACTGCGGATGGAACTCCACTGTGGAGGCTGTTAGCGCAGGGGTTCCAATGATCACGTGGCCAGTGCACGATGAACAATTCTACAATGAGAAATTAATCACTCAGGTGCGAGGTATTGGTGTAGAGGTGGGGGCAGAAGAGTGGAGCATCATTGGTTTCATGGAGAGGGAGAAGTTAGTGGGTAGAGACATCATAGAGAAAGCTGTGAGAAGGTTGATGGACGGTGGAATTGAAGCTGATGAAATACGACATCGCGCACAAGAGTATGCAGTAAAGGCCAAACGAGCTGTTCAAGAAGGTGGATCGTCCCACAAAAATTTAATGGCCCTGATTGATGATCTTAAACGACGGAGGGGATATAAGGCATTAGATTCATAAGGATTTCAAGTTTTAAACATCATTAATTATCATTGTTGCTAAAAATCACAAAATAATGACCAACGTGAGGCTAAGACCAACATAAAACATTGTTGTATTGCACTAACTGTGCAAATGCCTGTTTGGATTTACATTTACAAAGAACAAATTATGATATAGATATCTTCTTTCTTCTTTCAGGTTTTCCTAGAGTTAATACAGGTGAAAGAAACAAAATTAATTGCATAGTAGAAGTCCCTATAACTTAACAAAGAAAGGAACAAACATAAAAATAAACACCTTCTATTTTCCTTATCCTCGATGTGAAAGAATAGTATCTTAAGCAATATAACCCCATTTCATAACCGATAAAGCAATGATAGCCATGGCATATTCCAGCATATTATTATACCGTTTTAAAAAAAATATTATTAGGTGTGTTTTCATTAAGGAAATGCATGCAAACCATCCACTTCTACTTTTTATTTATTTATTTTTGGCTTCAATCTTGTAAGCAGAGGAGAATCTTTGGGGTAAGCCAAATAATTATATTAATAAAAAAGGCAACAAAAAAAAAACTATTTTGTTGGTAGAAACTAAAAACAAAACACCAAGATAGAAGAAATGGTAATATATTCGGAGTCAAAACCCAAGTTAACGATCTTGTCGATAGGGTTTTATGCAGGTTATAACCTTAAAGCAATGCATCCACAATAGTTTCTCACAACTAATCCCACAATAATTTAATTGTCCAAGATGTATAGGAGAGGTTTGATGAAAAATGTTATACATACAATGTATAATATAACCTCATATTTGTCAATATTCTATCCAAAAAAAAAAAAGTAATTGTTACTAAATATGAGAATGCCATATTTTCAATAAACAGTAAAAGTTATCGCAAAAGATGAAAAGTTTTTGCGATGTACTATTCCAGCTACTAGACTAACAGGTACACTAACCGCACTATTTCAAGAAAACGGATGTTGAAGTTGTCTAGTAAAGCATAATCAACGAGTTGTAGTTTGGTTCCACAACTCTTCCTTCTCTGCCTAAGATGTAAAGTTGTAGTTTGGTTCCATAACTCTTCCTTCTCTGCCTAAGATGTAAAGTTGTAGTTTGGTTCCATAACTCTTCCTTCTCTGCCTAAGATGTAAAGTTGTAGTTTGGTTCCATAACTCTTCCTTCTCTGCCTAAGATGTAAAGTTGTAGTTTGGTTCCATAACTCTTCCTTCTCTTTCTAAGATGTAAAGTTGGATTTCTGTTACAAAATCTTAAGTCCTAAATTGCATGTGTTTATTGAATAGAAACTAAATTGCCCTCGGGCATTTTTTATATCTTTGGCAAAATTTTGATGCACTTTCAATGCATATTTCAGTCAATGACTCAAGAGTCGCCATAATCCTGAATTTATGATATCTTTATATTTCAAATAATAAATATTTTTGTTCTCAGATTTCAGTAAAAAAAACATATATAAAAGATAGCATGAAAATTATGAACAGAAACTGAAAATCTAAAAGCTACATTCATGATTCATCAATGATCAACATAAAGCAGATCAAGTTGCACTCACTGTATCTTTATATAAAGTTACAAAAAGTGGCAACAAAGTAAAAAATAACTAAAACAAAACAAAAACCAACAAAAACATAAACTTAATTCGCGCTACTTACTAGATCAAACTGTTTGAGTCTCAAGATGAATGTTGAACATTATGGTTGTTGTGGTGAGGGAATTCTCTTATTAACAGGCTTCATCTGGTGGTTGCTTCCGTTGTTGTTGTTGTCGTCGGAAACAGCTTTGGCAAATGCCTCCACAATTCGACGCTGAGATTCAAGAATCATCTCGGTGCGCTTCATTTCCATATCCATCCGCATAGCTTCAATCTCTCTTGCCATCTCCATCTTCATTTGCTCCATCCTCACAAACCCGTCACCCAATACCTTGATCGCAGACACCACCTCTCCCAATGGATCTCTTTCCCTCTTGTTACCCAACCCCTTCGTTGTGGCGGCCGGAGGAGGCGGCATCCCGTAGTTATGGTTCAGATTAGGATTATACTTCTGATCAGAAGGAAATCTCGATTCAGGTTGTGCCTGTGGAAACCTAATCCTGAACCCTCCGCCAACGCCAACACCAACACCGCCTCCACCACCGCTACCGCCACCAAAACCGTTCCTGTACAATTTATTGATGCTTCTAGTGTTAGATCCGTGGCCGTTTTTGATTTCCATGTAGAGATCTTGATCATGATCTTCTTCTTCGTCATCATCTGGGCTATCTGAATCGTTGTTTTCAGATTTAACCGCAGAAGGACCTTTCTCCATGGAATCCATGAGTTTGAAGTGAACCCAAGCGGAGTTGAATCGAGAGAGAGGAAGTGAGCGAGCACGTTGAATCTCAGTTCGATAACGCTTACGAAGCTTCTCCATCTTATGCCGGCATTGAACGGGAGTTTTCGCCGGAGAAGCGTTAGGGCACCGATGAGAAACAGCGTCAGCCACTTCTTGCCAGTGAGTGGCTTTCAGGTTTCCACGGCCAAGAGAGTACCATTTGTCGCGATACGAATCGATGAGAGCGAGGGTTTCGTCGGGGGACCAGCAAGGAGGAGGAAGACGGCGAGTGGAAGGTGGGAGAGGGAGTGGGGCGGGGAGAGCGAGGGGTACGGCGATAGGTGGATCTGGAAGAGGAGGAAGGGAGGTATTTGAGGGGGAGGAAGCCATTGAGGCGGAGGAATGTGGTGGGAGAAAAGGTGGTGTTTGTGGTGAAGAGAAAAAAGAATGGTTTGGGTTTGGTGGTGGTGGCGTTTGGTAACATATTTGGGTGGTGGTGGGCGGCAGATTTTGAGATGTGGACAGGATAGGACAAGGGGGACACCACCGAATTGGTGGGGGAAGAGGCTAACATGCGCTCTGCTAACAACACGCGCACTTACTTCACACGTGATGTCCACGTTTTTTTGGTCAAAGCGTGATGTTCACTTTACCCCGGACAAAACTCGTTGGATTACTTGAACTTCTTTTCATCACTTCTCTAAGGAAGCCTAGTTATAATCTAAAAATATCATTCAAAATTTGAATCTAAAGTGTGTTTTTTAAATGTTAATTAGAGGATCCGAACTAGGTGAACTCAGTAAATAAATAAATATAGTGAATATATGTTTCATTGAATCAAATCAAATTTAATAACAGTGTATAGACGAGATAATTGAGAATTTTTTAAAAATTTAAAATTTTAAACAATTTAAATTATTTAATTAAAATTCATTTATTTTTTATTTTTTTTGTTTGGATAGAATATTAGAGTGAGTTATTATAAAAAAATTATTGTCATTTTTGTAAATTTTAAAATTTTTAGGCCAAATTTTAAATATAAAATAGGGACTAATTTATAATTTTTAAAATTTAAAGAGATTGTTAGAATTGGTATTAAAGAGAAAATATTGTTAGAATAAAATCTGATGAAAGATGTTGTATATTGATTTCATATTAAATGAGAAATACAATATTCTATTATATAAGAAACCCATAACAAATTTGACCGTTGTATTGGAACAGCTATACACCGAAAATATTCTCTAAAACTTATGAAATCTAGAATAGAGAACTTAGATATTTTATTATTATCTAACATGGGTCAATTTTAAAATTTAAAAATTATTAGAGATTTATTTGTAATTTTTGAAAATTTTAGATGTGAATAATTTAAAGTTTTCATAAAATATGAGGATCATTTTGCAAAATTTAGAAAATTAATAATAAACAATTTAATATTCACATTATATAGAGTGAAGAAGCAATTTCAAATTTTTTACTTATTAGTGTCATTTGAAATTCTTTAAATTTAACTTAAATAAAATATTTCATAAATTTACATCGTTTTAACCGTTTTCTATTTTTTTTTATCCAAATAATGAATTTTGGTCAAGTCGTTTTAAATTTTCTTCAAATATTACTTACCCTCGTTAAAATGTCACATCCAAGCACACTCTAAAAGATACATCTAGACAAACAAAATTATGGAATAGACAAACAAGTTACTTTTTTCATTGAATTCAATCATTCACCTTTCAAATTTATCAAATATTATTAGACGAATTAAATTTGAACATATAATAATGTTAACAAATTTAATCAAGATAAAGTATAATTTGACATATTCCTTAAGATATGTTTGGATTGATGAAATTTGATGAAATAAATTGCTATATAATCATATTCGATTGTTTGAATTTGCAAGATTGAACAAAATGGAACATAATAGAATCCGTTGCATCATAAATATATTCCATATATTCTTTCAATTTTCATTTTCCCAAATTCGGAGTGTATTCAGGGGAATTATATAAGAATGTATTTTGTTTTGTTCCATCAAATTATAAAAACTATTCAAACAACTGAATGAAATTTACGTTCTATTTCGCTCAATTCCATCATATTTCGTTCTTCTCTGTTATATTCTATTTCATCAATCCAAATAGAGCATGGGTGTGATACAAACCAAACTTTAAGAACATGATTCTCATACCATCTTCGTTTTAAATTTGCATGTGTGTGAACTAAACACATCTAACACCATCAATTGATGGATGATGATACTCAACATTGATCATCCATCAACTGATGAATGATGATACTCAACACTAACCATCATTCATGTGTCGTAGTTATTAAAGCGACGATTCAATTAGGAAGATTCAAAGTCCCACATTGTTTAGAGATAAAGTCTGGAAAAAAATTATATAGAGTGACACGTTTTTGTTGGAATTAAACTCAGGACTTTGAGTAATTCCAAATCAATCTTGATGAACAAGATTCAATCAACCGATCAAATTTCCTCTTGTTCTTCACTTTTCACTCGAGTGAATCAACAAATCTTGGTTGCAAGATTGTATTACTGCACAATGATGATGAAAACAAGAAAAGAAAATTGAATTGGGGAAGAAAGAAAACTAGTGATTCAATGCAAAATAGGGGAAGAAGAATTTCTGCAGAGTAACTCTCTGCTCTCAAAGCTACAATTTTATTCAAGTGAATCACTTTACAATAATAGGTTACTCCTTATTTATATATTTAACTTGCTTGCTCTCCAAGAAAAGTCCAAAAATAAAAGCCGAAAATGCCTAATTCTGCCAACACTTTAAAATTAGGTTTAAGACAAAATTCATGTCGAGGCTAACTCCTCGACACTTCGACAACTAGGTATTTCGACACATACGACTATTTGACAACTTCCTTGTCCCTGTCGAGCAACCTGCTTCGACACAAGGAATTACAATTCAACACAACACCTAATTCATTGTGTCTAAGTTATCTATGTTTATCATAGACCTTAACTTCTTGAACGCTTCGACATGCACTCCTGATAACACGAAATCGTATATATATATATATTGATGCATAATTCAACTGATGTTTAACCGTTTTCGATCCGATTTCGGGTTATTTCCGTGTTATTTGTCTGATACTTTGCAGGTATTTGATGATCATGTCTAAATAAGGAAATATGAAGAAAATAAGCAATCACAGATGAAATATGGACGAAAACCGGATGAAAACAACATGAAAAACGCAGAATGCATATTTTGCTGTTGTGACGACCGTCACAGCCCCATGATGACCGTCACACACCGTGACGACCGTCATGCAGGCAAAAACGCCCCACTTCAAATGCACGTGAAAGAAGCAGTTCCAAGTCCCAAATAGTGGACCACTACTCCCTGATAATTCTGCCTCAAAGTCCACCTTCTTCAAGTTATAACCGTTAGAATTCTATTTCTATAAAAAGGGAAGAAGGGGAGCTGAGAAAGGGAGCCGCATTCAGACAACGAAGTACTGCCAATTTATCTTCAGAGCAACCTTTCCAGTTTTTCTATTCTTATTTGTTTCTCTTTTCTTTTTCTGCATTCCTTTGATATTCTGTAATTCTTATTTCCCTTGTACGATCAATTGGCATAAAGACCAGAATCCTGCCAACATTTGTGGAGGATCTGCCCAAAGGTCAATTGGAATATTTACAGGTTTCTCATTTTAATCGTAATTCCAGTTTTCGTTATGATGCATGTTATTACTTATTGTTTTTATTTATGTTTTACCTTTCCCAAATCCATGTCTAGCTAAATCAAAGTAATCGATATGTAATAATAATTCGGAAGGGATTTGATAATAACCGGTTGAAAACTTTCCTTTTCAAAAGTTGTTTATGGTCTGAGTGTTTAAATTTATTGACTGAATAAACTTCGTCGCGAAAGCGAGAACTTATTTAAAAATAGTTTTGCCACGAAAGTGGGAAATTAATTAAGGTACGAACCAACAAGCGAAAGCTGCGGCAAGACCAGATAGTAAACACTAGTCATTCATTTTAATAACAGCGAAAGCACTTTAAAATGAATTAGAACTTAGAGATTTCCAAAAAATAGTTTTAACCCCGAATGGGACACGAAAGCATACGTTTGGCCCTTAGAATTATGATTAGCGTCAATAACCATCGTGAGACGAGAGTCTTCAGATCACTATTTTCTGCTTGAATAAACTCTGAAAAAATATTTCATATACCGGTAACTTGTCAAATCCCCGAAGAACATAATTACTGCATATCGATTCACGGAATTATAATTTAAATAACATTTTTAGTTCCCTTTATTGACAATCTTATTCCCTTAAGCATTATCTACCTAGCTAAACATAGTAACTCCCGAGAACACTAGTTTGATTACGAGTCCCTGTGGGATCGATATCTTTTATTACTACGCGATAGATTGTGCACTTGCAGTTAAGTTGTATTAGACATAGAAAGTCGCGATCAAGTTTTTGGCGCCGTTGCCAGGGACCCGTTTAGTCAATAGTGTAACCTTCTGTTACACCGTATAGACTAGGTTAACAATTTCATTTTTCCTTTACTAGTGCTATCGATTGTATGCCAAGTGATCGCCCACAAGGCGATATCTTGAAACCTTCAGTCGCAGAACTAGAACGCTTCTTACATCTAAGAAGCCGAATTATTGAGTACCAACTCAAACATAACATTCCCGATCCTCTCACTCCCATTCCCAAATTAGAAGAAGAATCAAAGATGGTTGAAGGACCTCCGAACAAACCGCTGAAGGCATACGCTACACCCTCTCAGATGGAGCCTAGAAGTAGCATTGTTGCCCCAGCTATTACTCGAAACGATTTTGAGTTGAAACCATCATTGCTGTCAGTTGTACAACAAAACCAATTCTCAGGAAATGCAACTGAGGATCCAAACGAACATTTAACAAAGTTTGTACAATACGTAGACACAGTGAAAGCAAATGGAGTAAATCCAGACGCGATAAGACTTCGTCTTTTCCCATTCTCTCTTAGAGACAGAGGGTGGACATGGTTACAATCTTTACCATCCAACTCCGTTACGACGTGGGAACAATTGAAGAACGTCTTCTTAGCGAGATATTTTCCGCCAAGCAAAACTGCCATGCTTAGAGCTCAAATCAACGGATTTCGACAAAAAGATACTGAATCTCTTTACGAAGCATGGGAACGATTCAAAGATATGATGAGAACATGTCCTCACCACGGTCTAGAAGACTGGGTGACAATCCATACTTTCTATAATGGGCTTTTATACAATACCAGATTGACAATAGACGCTGCCGCGGGCGGTGCACTTATGGATAAGCCATACGATGAAGCCTATCAACTAATCGAAAACATGTCTCAGAACCACTGCCAATGGGGAGGTG